TATCTTTTTATGATATTCCCATGAACAAGATCCACAACCATATGTACATTGAAGGACATATTTTGCAGCATTTTCAGGCAAGATTCTGACCTTAATAAGGATAATATCTTCTGGTCTGACTTTTACTTTCAGAGTTTTGCTATCTTTAAGAACATGATGTATACTAGACAGATAAAAGATAGCGCATGCACCTGTGAATGTATGGAAGCTTTAGTTTAAACCAAGATATCGCAATATGACTAATTGTAATGTGTTTCACTTAATATGTGTGACTGTGACCAATAAGATATTAATATATGTCATCATATCATTATTATTAAAAAAACAAAACTCCTTAAAATCTAAGAATTTACAACGTTTATACAATCTCAGTGACGTTTCAGAAGAAAAAAATCTACCCTTTTTCCTGAAGAACTCAAAACCCACCACTTTTAGAAAAAATAATCTCCAAAAAAAAAAATATGAGAGGAATCTGTATCTGTGCATGTTAGATGTTTATGTAGTAAATCTTTGAAGTGTTATCTGGGCTTACGTTAACGCTGCCATCAAAGATTTTGTTCCTTTTTCTCGCATCACTTTCCTCATCCAAACCTTGTTTTCTGCACTTTTTTCCTTCCTTATTATATCTTCAAAGAAACCAGTTCTTGCTAGGGGAAGAAGAAGATACTTTGCTTCTTTTGATATGGAAAATGAGCTTCTTTTAACCTTAGTTATTTGTAGTTTGATAATCCTTATTCCGGGATTGCCCGTCGATCCCATGGAGCTTCTTGGTATCGACGGGAAACTCAGCGTCGACCAGAACAACGTCGAACCGGCTTCTCTTGATTTCAGTTTGCTCACTCGAAGCCAGCCGCTCGCCGTCTTGCACCCCGATTCGGCTAAGGACGTTGCTCAAGTCGTTAAAGCAGCCTACCGGACAAACCGGGGGCTTCCCATATCGGCTAGGGGACATGGACATTCGATAAACGCACAGGCTCAGACCAAGAACGGTGTGGTGATTCAGATGAGTAGGTCGAAAGAAGGGAGTGAGTTGGATTCGGGGAGGAAGTACCCACCTCAGCCTCGGTTTTGGGCTCGAGAGAGGTACGTGGACGTGTGGGGTGGGGAGCTTTGGAATCAGTGGCCAAACATTCAATCATGGTCCAAAAATCAGCAATGTCCACGAGCTTGACGTAGTTACAGGAAAAGGTGAGCTGTCGACATGTTCAGAAGATCAAAACCCAGAGCTGTTTCATGCTGTTCTCGGTGGTTTAGGACCATTTGGCATTATCACCAGAGCTAGAAATTCCCTTGAACCAGCTCCAGAAAGGGTACCCATCACTTCACTCTCTGTTTTTCATCAAGCAGCATTTATATAATAAGCTATAATTTCTCTTGCTTTTTGTTTACTAGTGTAGGTGAGATGAATAAGAGTTCTGTATTCGAATTTTTCGGCTTTTACCGGCGACCAAGAACATCTTATATCTCTAAATGCACAGCCGGGCTGCCAAAAATTCGATTACGTTGAAGGTTTCGTAATTGTAGATGAAGGGCTCATCAATAACAGGAGATCATCTTTCTTTTCTCCTCGAAACACTGTCAAAATCTCCTCTTTGGTTGCCGCCGGAGGTGTTTTGTATTGCTTGGAAATCGCCAAGAACTACCACGAAACTACTGCTGAAACTATTGATCAGGTACATATTATATTTAATCATAGGTAAACTGATCTCGACTCAACTTGAAAGTTTAGGATTTTAAAATTATTAAGTTTGATTTGGACTCAAAATCAAAAATTAAAAATAGATTTGAGCTTAAAAAAAATTGAACTCAAAACATTCCAAGACTTAATTCGATTGAAGCTCGAACTCAAGTTCGAACCTTAGCCTTAATTTAATTTTAAAAAAGTAAAAATATAATGTATTATTTTTTTTATTTATTTGCGAACTTTTCGAGTCATATATCAAGTAGTTTGCTTTGACTCGTTAAGAATTCGAGCCGAATTCATTTGAATCGAATGTTGGCTGAACTTTGACCGAATCGAGCTTAAGTAATTTATGATCTATCTAGTTTCATTTACCAACCTAATCATAAAGGTTATCATCTTAATATATCATCAATTAGAAAAATATTACTGAGTATCAATTCAAGCTTAATTAATTAAGCTTGTGAAAGTATATAAACTGATGAGATGATGTGTTACAAACATTATTGACGTTTTTTCAATTGCAAGTTAGAATCTTTGACGAGATCATTGTCCTTTTTGCATTATTGTTCTTAAATCTTCCACTGTTGTTCTTCTTTTGTTTTTCATGCAAGATCATGGAATAATAATAGTGTGTAGTATGATTTTATACTAGAGATGATGAACTTATATAATTTTAGGGAATGAACAAGGGGCGGAGAATGAGGGTCTTAAGGGGTCCCGACCCTTGTTAGAATTTATATATTTGATATAATAATATTCTGGTTCATGTAAAAATAAATATTTAAATTAAAAAATATAAGAAATTTAATAAATATTTAATCAAGGACCAAACTAAAAAAAAGATATTCTCGTATTCTCAAAATTTTTGGTTTAATAACAATTTAGGTTATTGTAAGTTTAAATATTAGACAAATTAGGTATTATCTTATGAATTTTGAGTTTTTTTATATAAAAAATCTATGATGAATATAAGGTAATACTTGTACAAAGACTCTTAATTATTTGACAATAAACACTCATACCCCTATATACGCAGTGCTCGAACTCGAGACCTCAAGGATTACAATATTCCCTAAATCACTAAGATCGCGTGGTTCATGTTGAATTTTGAGTTTAAATACCTAATAAGTCTTTATAAATTTTTAAAATAGTATAATATTTCGTCCACTGTCAATATTTAGTTCCGGTTTCGTCCCTTTAATGAACTTATAAAATTTTAATGAACGAAAATACCTTATTAATAGAAAATATAAAACAAATTAAAATATATTAAAATTTGAAAATTTGAAGATACCAATCCCCTCCGTCCGTCTCTATATATATTCGCGTACCATCAACCCATCATATATAAACTTTAAATATTTTGATAACAGTGGATTCATAGACTGGTCGCCTCTTCGGAGATTTATATGATTGAGATTATTAATGTGAAGTTAATATTTTAATGCAAACATATGCTAATAAAACATGGAAGAAGATCTCATGTGATCTATTATCTCATAAAATTCTATTCGAACACTACTTTATGGTTATACTATTGCATTAAAAATTACAAAATCTAAGCCGTCCATAATTCCACCAAAGTATTCACATTTAATTAATCTTCTCTTCCAATTAAACTAAATGCATGAAGTAGAGTCTTTGTTGAAGAAACTAAATTTTATATCGACTTCAGTGTTTACGACTTATTGGCTGTATGTGGATTTCTTGGATCGGGTCCACAAGTCCGAGTTGAAGCTCCGGTCCAAGGGTTTGTGGGAGTTTCCACACCCATGGCTAAACCTTTTTATACCCAAATCAAAGATTGCCGAGTTCGACAAGGGAGTGTTCAGGGGCATTTTGGGGAATAGGACAAGTGGGCCAATTCTGATCTATCGAATGAACAAAGATAAGTATGACCTTTTTTACAGCAATAATTCCATTCCATGGCCATGCATGAAACATGTAAATAGTATCTTCTCATTGCCCCATGCATGCATCTATGATGTTGAAGGCATGTCACCCTTACATTTCTAACATATGCTCCTACATACTAATATATACTATCTATGATACATACATCCATATATGGTGCAGATGGGACCAATGGAGCTCCATGGTGACGCCGGACGAGGGTGTGTTTTACGTGGTGGCATTGCTAACATCTGCCTCGGATAACGGGGAAGTAACTCAGAGCTCAGAGTACCTGACTGATCAGAACCGTCAAATTCTCAGATACCGTGGTGAAGCAGGGATCAATGTGAAGCAATATTTACCTCATTACTCTCCTCAACAGGAGTGGATGGACCACTTCGGCAGTAAGGGGGATTGGTTCTGTGAAATGAAAATGGAATTTGACCCAAGGCACATTTTGGCCACAGGCCAACAGATATTCACACCCACCTTCAGTTCCTCATCGAATATGGCCTCATGACAATGACCATTTGGTACAAAACAAAGCAAGAAGAAACAAGCATTAACACACTGACTTGGGAATATTGATTTTCTTGTTGTGCATTGAAATGGGGGAAAAGGGGGGCCAAAAAGGAACATGATGATACTTGGGTTTAAATAAATAGGAACGAGGGTTGAATTAGACGGGTGATAATGGAGGGGAGGGTTTCTTATAAGCTTTGCAGGGCATGTTTAAAGTGTTGCAGTGCTCGGGATCTCGAAAGCCAAGAACTGATTGCCTTTGGATCTTGTTTGCAGCTTATTCACACAGCTGGCTCCAGTTCATAAATTTCAGGAGGATGATAGATTGACAAAAGAGTAGTGGATTTGCAAATATTTAGTATAATTACTCACAGTTATGCCACAGATCTTACGTGACTCAGATTTACGCCAACTTGAAACACTTGAACAGTAACAGATAATTAAAAGGAAAAACAAATTAAAACGAAAGTACAAAATGTTACGACTAATCCTTTGTTTCGAAAGCCTCAAATTACGACAATATACTATTGATTTCCCGAGACAAATATGTTATAATAAAAATAAAGGTTGTAATTTCTGACCAATCCGTACAATCAACGATGCTCATCTCTTGGCTTGGAAATTTCACAAGAGTAAATTCATGCACGCAGGTTGTATTAGCACAATAATAGCTAAACTGAGGCTGGTAAACTTGGGAAATTGAAAATCAAAATCCATGGCAAGAAATAACCAGAGAACAGAGAACAAATTAAAAGGTCTAAAAGAAAGGAAAGTAAGTTTTACATTGTTCAGTCTGCTGCTTGAATTAGATAACCACATTCAAATTAAATCTACGTTTAATAGTAATTTCATACACAGCAAGACAAATGTAAAAAAGTTCACCACCCCTCGGTTTTCATACACAGATTCTAGATAATAGGTTTATTATCATCATACTTTATCATCATGGAACCACCATCTCGTCTCCTTGGGAGACCTTCCATTGCGACAGTTCTTAACGTATTGGTCGTTATCAGCCGGCCTTTGCTGCATAATTACACAGTGAAATCAGTATTTTAGCATTGAACAGGTAAGGCCAGATCTTGGGAACAAAAACAAATGGGCAAATTGCTAATAATTCCAACAAACCTTTGCAGTTGAGCTTGATAACATGGACAGAATGCTGATGCAGATGGAATTCACAGTCATGGCTGGGGACCAGCTATCATACAGAATATCTGGCATAATATGAACACCACACGATTTTCAACATTGGTTAGCTAGATAAACTGATCAAGTGTATGACAATGAAAGGTACAACATTGACATTAATGATCAAGCAGCCTTCGCGGTTGCTCTACATTATCCAAGAACTTAGTGTGCCTAATTGTTCTAATTAACCCTTGTAATGTTTTTATTTGCCTCCTCAAACATATATTGGTAAAAAATGCTTACCAGAAAAACTGCTGAATGACATTTTTTTCATCAAACATATGACACAAATGTTCTGGTTCATGCTATCCATGGTGTTGCTAACTACCAACCAAATAATCATGAGTAACAGAAACCTGACTAAAATGAAAAGTCACAGGCTCATGAAGCAAAAATTACCAAGAAAACTTGCCAAATAAAATATAAATTGATGCATGAAACACAGTGCATAATAGATTCCTTAAGGCCAGAAAGGTTACAATTAAGCAGCATCTCAAGAAAGAACAATCAGAACCAAAAAACCATATTTGATTGTCTTGGTTTAAATTACCTAATCATCAAAACAACGAGGATCGTTAGAGCCCACAGACACAGAAGACAAGCTTTTAGTATGAAACTCTTTTCAATTCCTTGTGTGGTAGATACAACGTTCTAGGGAATCAAGACTCACTCATTGCCATGATGAGTAAACTGCTCGAAACAATTATTTCACCTACAAACTAGTCGCATTAAATGCAAGCAATGACCAACCTCTCTTAGAAACCTTCCAGTACATATTTTTTCGTAATTAATATTTCCATTAGGTCACCAACCAACTTCTCTTAAACATCTTCCATAACCAGTAATACACTAGAACAGAGTGTCCCCAAGCATAGGACAGAAACAAAAACATTTCATTCTCTCTCTATCTAGTCTTCTCTAAAACCAAACATGGGAAAGTTATCATACATCACTCTGTGACAAATATAATATACTTTACAGTTTCGAGCATAGCTTAATGTACTCACAGGCTCACAGCTGGAATAGAAAAGCGAATGATGGAAAATGACAACATATCAGCATAAGTGAATAGTTCCAATTATAAATAATAGGCTCAAGAGCTACTATGAACAATGATAAAAGATTCTATATCAATTACATAGTCACTCTTAAATACAATAAAAGCGCAAACATGTGCTAGATCATTGACACATTAGATGACCTCCAATTTGGGTAGTATGTCATCTATCATGACAATCAGAATTGTATTTTACAAATTCTGCATGACTAATGATAAAACATTCTCCATAAAGGTGAGAAGGTGACTGGGAACACAAAGTGACATGTCAAAAAAGAACCACTGCAATCATGATTACGAATAATCATATCATGTTCAGGAAAATTCACAAACCAACATTCTCTATCATCTGTAAACATCATGCATTCTTCAAGCAACGAGATTAAAAAGGGTAGTTGTTCAAAACAATTGTTAGCAATTATTAACAAAACTCTAACGACATCAATACCTAAACAAATATGCCCATTGCTGTAAATATGAGGATGCAGAGGTGCTGTAGGAATGAAAATCACCTGCTCAATCAACAAACGAATACCGTAATCTCCATTCATAAACCTTCACTTTCACTATTTACAAAATAACAAAACAATAAGGAAACGGAAAGCAAATGAGATACCTGAGGTGCCTCCATAGGATAATGCTCAGGAAAATCAACCTGAAGCTGGTAAGTTTCATTAGCATAAAGTGTTCCAGGAGCTCCGTTGACGTCGATTATCCATCTTTCCATAAAAAACACAAATCTAACAATTAAAGACTAAAATCCCAAATCAATCCATCTATTGACAGAATCGTCCATAAAATTCAATTAAAAAGAGTAAACAGCAAAAAACCTTTGGAGATTATCAGTCACTTTATGCTTGAATCCAGTGGGTGGATTAACTTGCCACTCCACTAACTCCTTCTGGAGCCTATTACAGGCGATCTTGCTTAAAGCCTACGCAAAAACATAATCCAAACAAAAAAAGGTCAAAAAAATCAAACAAATAGGGAAAAAAAGAATAAAACAAAATAAATTCGGAAGACGCAACCTTAACTAGGGCTAAAAACGAAAAAAAAATTGAATTAAAAGAAAAAGAATAGGAACCTTGCGTGGATGAGCTGAGGAGCTAGTCATGGCTTCCGCGCGAGAGAACTCGGAGAGGAGGGAGTGGAAAAAGACGGTGCCGTCTGCTCTAATTTATATTCTCAAGGATTCTGGAAACGTGAATTATTATTATTGGTGGAGAATGTTGGAGAAATATGTCACTAGATCAAACGGCCCACAAAATTATGGGCTTTGAGTTATGTATTGCTGTGATTTTTTCCACGTGGCCTGAAAAGTACAGGGATAAGTCACGTTTTGCCCCTGAAATTGACTTTTTTAAACTTGATCCCTAATTCTTTTGTCCATGTTAATCCGTGAACTTAACTATTTTTTAATTTAATTCTTTGACTTAATTTTTTTCGTGTCCTGACACTTGTCAATCAGAGATAGCATGATGTTATTCATCCCATGAATATTGTTATTAATCGGAAGATATAATGTCATACATTTTGTTAAATATAATTCTTTCATCTATCTATTAAGAATATTATTTAAATTTTTTTCATAAAAAAAATTCGACTGACAAAACATTTGAAAAAGCCTTTGATAAATTTAATAGGTTTTTCAAGTTTAATATATTGATTAACGGTTGTATTTATACACCTTATTTGTCTATATATAACAATGATGATTTTATATAGAGAAAATAACATCAGTGACAAAAAATCTTAGATAATATACGATTTTGACCAATTTTTTTTGAATTTACGAAAATGACCAACAAAATCGTAATGCGATCTCCACTATTTAGTATAATTAAAAGTCAATCTACAATCAATCGTGATTATTGTAATTTTAAGCAAAACATTCAAAAATAATATCACTATTTAAGGCTCAATCCCACATAGTATTGGGAACAAGTATTGGTAATGCTCAAATCCCACATAGTATTGAAAACACTATTGGGAATGGTATTTAAGGCTTGGCTTTCCCACTTCCTTGTTGAGTGATAGAGAACAAGGGGGACTCTCGCGCGCCGCCACCGCCGTCTCGTCTCGTCTCGGGTCGTGGTCGTGGTCGTGGTAATACGTCGTGGTAATACGTCGTGGTCGTGGTAATACGTGTCTTCGACACGTCCGCGCGGATACTATCTTTTTTTGAGAAAATTCTTAAGAAACAAAATCTTTTTTTTAACTATCACAACGAATTTGAAAAATCGCAACGACAACTGTAGACTATCGCAACGAATTTGAAAAATCGCAACGACAACTGTAGACTATCGCAACGCGAAATGGAAAATCGCAACGCGAAATGGAAAATCGCAACTCGATTTTCAACTACCGCAACGCGAAATGCAACGCGAATTTGCGATAGTGAAGATCGCAATGCGAATTAGAGATCGCATTGCGATTTTGTTGGTCATTTTCGCAAATCCAAAAAAAGTTGGTCAAAATCGTATATTATCTGAGATTTTTGGTCACTGAAATTATTTTCTCTTTTATATATGATACAAGCATGTATAAGGGGTCAAACATATAAACCATGTAATAGTTAAGAGAAGGGGGTTTCTTTTTTTCTTTCTTCTTCTATGTATTCGTATGTTCTATCTAAAAATTATTTTTCATCTCTTTATATACATCATCGATTGTGACTCTTTGTCTGAATAAAAAAGAATTAATCGTCAACAACTGACGTAGCTTATTTGTTCTCATCAACATATATATATTATAATAATATTTTATATGCTAATACGACACACTTTTGTAATAACAGTGAAATTTTGGTTACAAACTAAGAACATTGCCAAGTTCAAAAAATATATAAACAAAAAAAATTTAAGGACCGCATACTAAATTTGGACATTAAATGGGTTATGGTATTACGTTCTTTGCAGATTCGTCTATGAAATTTTATGATTATTTAAGTCGAGATGTCTATGGTTGGTTCTTCGTATGATAGATTAATTACTTCTAATCTGTAAAGGCTTTTAGCCTTTTTCTTATTCCGAAGTTAAGGATCAAAGTAAAAAAGAAATAAACTTCACGAGACAAAATATCACTTATACCTTTTAGAAAATAGAGAGAACATGGATAGGTAAGGTTAGTAGAAATTTATATAATTTTGTTCAAAGCATATTGCATTTATTTATTAAAGAAAAAAATATTTTATAAAGTCCATGGTATAATCGTTATTACAAGAATTAATTCTTATTGATATTTGTATATGTTAACATTGTGGTATGGTTGAGGTAATTAAAGATGAATCCAATCTTTGGCTTAGTTCTATAATCAGAGTTCTTAATACTGAGTTTTTAGCCCCCATTTCAAGTAAGGACGGCTAATGAAGTGACCAATATCTTTGTAGGTTAGTATTAGATACATTATTAGTGAAATATTTTAAATCTGCAAAAATATTCAAATGTTATGGTACACTCTAGTATTGAAATTAAGTTAGTATTAATGGTGTTAATTATTTGAATTCATTAATAAAATAATAAAAGTAGAGGGATGGGAACATATTAAATTAAAATATAAAGATTAAATTTCAAATTTGAACTTTATAAGGGGTCAAACGACAATTTGAGATAAATATAATTAAGGAATTAGTTAGAGTAACTGAGAGCAGTTTGCAAGTTAAAAGCACCAAAATGTTATTTAACCTAAAATCACATTTTATCCCAACTTGCACGACTCCTCGCACAAGTAACCTTGGGAAGCTTTCTTCCAACTCAAGCGATTTTGATCTCTGATCAGAGACTGCCACAATGAGCGGCGAAGAAGACGCTGAACTACGCCGTTATGAAATTGCGGCGCTGTACCGTAAGAGACTCCTTAAAAAAGAGCTCGAATCCAGCCTCCGAGCAGGTCTCCTCCGATCACTTTCCCATTTCTCGATCGCTGCTTTGTTTTGCTTCTAATGGTTTAAAATATGTCGTATTGAGAGTTATTTTGTTCCTTTTCCTGCTTAGTTTTGCCGGTCTTTGTTCTTTTCTCCTGCTCTTTGTGGATGATGTCGACAATATTATGCTTTTTAGTGCCTTCGAGTTTTGCTGATATCAGCTTTAGTTTTCACTATGTTTTTTTAATTACAATGAAATTAGTTTTTCGGAATTTTGAGGAAATAAAAAGAGGAAGAATAAACAAAAGAATTCTTATTGATTAGGTTGACTACCATATTGGGAAGTAGCTGTTAAAATCTTTATGTTTGAATGCTCAGTTAAGGAGGATCTGAATGCCGCTAAGAAGGAATGCAAAAGAACAGAAGACATTTTGAACTCTTTTATGAGTTCAGCACAGATTGTTGGAGAAGTTCGTAAGCCTCTTGGAAATGAACGCTGTAACTACTCCTCTCTTCTGTTTTAGTGTTGAACCGGTTGTGGTTGTATATTAGTCCAAGTGGATTAACATTTTCATACTTGCTCAACTAACTTACGCACTTGGTTTATTTATGCGTTCTAGTGCTTAGTGCGGTGTTTGAGGAGTTGTATTTGGATTTACCTGAATGTGTGTATGATGTTTTAGTTCTTGTTCAGTTAAACAAAAGTATATGCTATGTGGTTGGTTGCGGAAACAAAGTCGATACGGAGAAGCTGACTTCAGGAACCAGAATGACCGTTGACATAGCATCAATTACAATCAGGCGGGTTCTTCCACCTAAAGTAAGTTATTTGCATGCAAATTACTTCAGCTGTATTAATCATGTAGAACCAAGTTTTTGCAGAGGCCTGATACCTTGGTACATTTTTGGATGACAGGTTAATCTATTTGCTTATAGCATGCGGCGTTATTATCCTGGAAACGTTAGCTACTCGGCTGTTGGTGGTTTATCCGATCAACTTCGAGAATTGAGGGAATCTATTGGGCTCCCTCTCATGAATCCTAAGCTTTTCCTTAGAGTTGGGATTAAACCTCCAAAGGTGATTATACTTTCCTTTCCTTTCAAAGGATATGTGCTTGTGTATAGTTGCTGTGGCTGAGTGATGTTTGGCTGAGATTGCAGGATATCCTCCTTTATGGCCCTCCTGGTACTTGCAAGACATTGTTAGCAAGAGCAATAGCATGTAATGTTGATGGTAACTTCTCAAGGGTCAGACTCTTATACCATATTTGATTTTTTTTTACTTTTGTGTTCATTTTACAATCTGCGTATTCATGTCGTATTAATGTATTTGCATATTTCATAGTCATTTACATAATGTATTATATATTTATACAAATTTTGATATGGTATAAATGATAATTCATGTCATATATATTTTGACACATTGTGTAGTGTTCTTGTCATATGACCATATCATGTTGATAGTTGAAACCTACCTTTGTGGTTTTATTGTGGCATGTTGTCTTGTCCTTGACTAAATGCATTTTACCTTCTGCTCGCTCATCTGAGTTTAGGTTACTTCGAGTGTAATGGCTTGCAACAATTTTCTTGGAGATGGTGCAAGTACGATGAATGAAATGTTCAGATGTGCACTTGATCACCAAGTAAGAGCCTTGTGTTGTGAATGTTTTCTGTCTTGTCTATTTATACCCTTCAATGTTATTTTAATGTTTGTTTCTTTTATACAGCCGTGCATCATCTTTTTGGATGATATTGATGCCATCGGTGGACGCCGTCTCAGCAATGGGACAAGTATTGACCGTGAAGCATAGAGGACAATGATGGAGTTACTTCATCAGCTTGATGGATTTAATCAACTTGTGAAGGTGCATTATTTTAGTTATGCACATAGTTTCAAAGCATGCTTTTGAAAATCATTAACAACCTACATTGTTAAGTGTAGGTTCAAGTGATCATGGCTACTAACCGACCTGACATTCTCGACCCCGCACTCCTTCGTCCGGGGCGGCTAGACAAAAAGATAGAGATTTCATTGCCAAATGAGAACTCAAGAATGCAAATCCTCAAGATTCATGTTGCTTGCATGGCCAATCGAGGTGAAATTGACTATGAAGCGGTTGCTAAGCTTTCTAAGGTTGGTCAAATGTGGCATATAATTTTTGTTTCGAGCTCGTAATCGTCATCACTAATATAGTTTTCTGGAAACCATTGTGTTGAATGATGACGCTGTTAGCTGATGAGTGTTATAGCTAGTTGTATAGTTAGGAAGCTGTTAGAATGACTGTTAGTTGTTATGTTAGTTGTCATGCAGTTATACGGTTACAAAGCTAGTTGTAAACTCTTGTATAAATAGAGTGCTATA